TAGCTCTCATCAGAGTCCACTTCACCCCAGCAACACAAGCCCTGGTGTGCCAGACAGCTCCCCCTGCAGGCAGTAGGCCCTGCCCTTGGCCCGTGCTGGAAATCTAGGTGAGCCTTAGGCCCATCCCTGGCACCAGTGGGTCATGAACATCACAGCAGTTGCCAAAATCCCACCCAAGCAGCTGGCCCTGCTCCTTACACCACTCCAATTCACAGCCTTGGTGGTGAGACAGTCACAGACCAGCACTGTTCATACCTGATGGCTACAGAGGCCTGGAGACAAAGCCCGCTTCCTGTATGAGGAGGAAGACACAATGCTTCCCCTTAGGGCTGCACCAACAGAGGGCTGCCCCTCTGCCAGCAGAGCCCCACTTGCTCAGCACCCCCTCTCCAAGGATGTGTCACTGAGCAAGGCTGGGGACTGCTCAGCCCAGTCAAGGACAGAGCTATTTGGTTTCATCGCTCTGCTGCAGCGACGTGGGTCAGCACAGCACCAAGATCAATACCAGGCTGGGCAGTGGGGAGAGCCGCAAAGTTCGCCCTGACAGTGGCGTTCCTGGGAGGCTCCCTTACCAGCAGCACTCTGTGATGCGGGGTGGGGATTCGGCTGAGTTTCTGCTCCCACTGGGCCTGGCAGCTCCTGACTGGTGTGTGCTCGCTCTGCGGGATGGGTGAAGCCACCTCAGTGATAATCTCTATTATCTTGTCTATACATTGGGGATGGAAAAGAGCTGTTCAAAATTAAGCGAGGGGCGTGACAGAAAGGATGCTTGGGGGTCACACTACTAAACTCAGCAGGCTGCATTGTGGCCATTTCTGCCCACTCTGTCCTGGGACGGTGGTGTAAAAAACGTCTTTGAAGTTTATTTAAAGTACACATAATGTAAAGGTTTTCCAAAAATGTAAGTGAAATATCCCCCTAAAATCCCTGTAAAAAGTCCATTTCTTTCTCTGTCTCTTTTTTTTTTTGGGGGGGGGGTCCAGGGAGCGAACTCGGGACCTTGCCCTTGCGAGGCAGGCAGCAGCACACTGAGTGAGCTAAATCCCCAGGTCTTTTCTTTCTTTCTTTTTTTTTTTGATGGCTCTTTCTAGTCCTGGTTCATGGAAACATTTGCTATTTAACTATCCTAAACAGAGGAAAGAGTTTCACATTTTGCATTTTCCCTATTTGCTTTGATCTTTTCCCTGCAGGGCTAGATTTACTGATCCTTCTTATTCCAACACTTCATGTACAAAAATGAGAATGTGGCTCAGAGGGAAGTACTGTGACTCCACTGAATCACAGGAGCTGAGGGAGAGAAGACTCAAACCTAGACTACCTGAATCCAAGGTCTCTCTGTTGATTAAGTCTACTGCATAATATTCCAAAGGGGTCTTGTTAAACTACCACCTCAGTTTTTTTGAGACAAGGTTTTGCTAAAAGTTCAGGCTGGCCTCAAACTCATAGGGCTCCTCCCACCTCAGCCTCCCAAATTCTGGGATTATAGGCATGTACCACCACACCTGGCTCCAACTACCACTTTAAGAGTGTTTTTTTCCTGTTACCTAGTGCACCTCCTGGCAATGAATTCCCAGAAGTGCAGCTACTGGCACGGAGGGGCATGGGAACACTTCCATGGCCCTGAGATGTGCTGTCTAACCATTCTCCAAGAGGGCTGACCCCAGGTGCAGTCTCTCAGGTAGGGTATGCCTGTGGCAGTGACCATACCTGCATGCGCTGTCTCCCATTACATGGCCTCTTTGAAGTTTGCTTAAACTACACCTAGTATGAAGGTTTTCAAAACTGAAAAGAAAATATCCCAAGTTCCTGAACCTCCCACAAAAATAAGAAAAAGTTTTCTCTTTTGTAACAGTCCCTTCCTGTCCTGTTCACTGAAACGCTTACTACCGGATAGGACAGAGTTTCATGAGAGTTAAGGGGAAGCAGCGGCTCTGGAGCAAGGAGCCCAGGCCAGGCTGAGCCAAGCCCTCCACGCCCTCCGCGCCCTCGGCGGTGGCTTCCTGTGGGTGCCGGTCCAACTCCAGAAACCCGAGCAGTTGCCTTTTTAGGCCATAATCGAGCAGGACACATCCAGAGGCTAAATTGGGTCTCTCAGGAAATGATGAAACTGAAACTAAATAGGCTGACCAAAAACCTCTTTTTCAACCCAAAATGTAATTCCTTTATTTGCCTTCTCTGCTTTCCTCCCAACATCCATTTGGACCTTCTATTTCTCAGTTTTCTCCAAGAGTCCTCTCCCTCCACTGTTTCTCTTTTTAATAATTTGCATGTTTATTTGGTAAACAAACTGTTGGCACCTTAAAGACAGGATTTACTCTGCTACTGCAAGCCACTGGTCAAAACATTGTGAGCTTTTCCATTCCTAGGTGACCAGGACAGAGCTGAAGTTTTCCGGGGGCCAAGTGTGAGTGAGTTGGGAGCTTTCAGGTGCTGGAGCCCACCATAAACTGACCTCCTGCTGAGAGCCTGTTAATGAGCCCTCTGCTCTCTCCACCCTGGTGCTCATTCCGCAAGGTGTAAACACATCGGCCTATTCGTTATACAGGTGAGAGATAAAGCTCAGACAGGCCACAGAACCAGGATCGAACTCAGATCCGTGCAGTTTCAATGCCAGGTTCGGTTTCCACATGCACTGCCTCACTGGTGAGGTCACCAGGGCTGTGGGAAGGAAACCAAGGACTCCCCGGTTAAACAAGACATAAAAATGTGTCCCTGGGGATGTCAACCCATCTCCTCACACTGGCTTGCGCAGGGACTCTATCTGCAACTCAGACTGCTGGCTTAAGATAAGCAGGTGGTGGGTGTGACCAAGGTCAAGCCTTCGGGGCTTGCTGAGCCTGGTCCACTGGGAATTGGATGAACCAGTCAGCAACAGCCTGGGCACACCACAGTGCCCGTTCAGAGGCCTGGCAGCTCTACCCAGGCCCTGGAAAGTCTACTGCATCTTCGCTGCAGAAGCACATGAGCAGTCTGTTTCCGTTTCTTCATCCCCACTGCCATCCCAAGAACACAGATGAGTCTGCCCCCTCTTCTAACAGCCATATGGTCTGAGTTGAACAAAATTATCAAGGCCTGAATTCCAGTCAAGCAAGGTTCCATGAAAACAACTGCTACAACACAGAAATCTTCAAACCCTTTCAATTCATTTATTCAATCAACTGATAGATATTAAAGATCAACTCGCAAAAATTATGGCAAAGATACAAAGGCCCCAGGAGTTTCGAATGTGGTAAACTACATGAAAGATGCCTTACAATTGGAAGGGACAATCAGGGCACTGTGGTACTAAGTGGACAGACAGGTCTTCTTTGGTCCTGGTCATTGTAGACCCAACACCCAAATGCAGCAGGCACCCAGTAGACAAATTTGTCCTATGGATAAAGTAGGGAACTGCTTGCAGTGCGACTTTGGCCCCTTGCCACCTCTCTGGCTTCACCTGTAAATGCAAATGATACTTCACACTGCCTCCCTATTTCAGAACTATTTATTTCCATATATAGTCTTTTTTTTTTAATCCCATATATTCTTTAAATACACCTAACAATGAGGCAGGACAGCTGTCACTGTGGAACACTCACTGCAGAGGGGAAGAGACAGGTCAGCCACTGCTCGGACTTAAGACCCAATAAAGGAAGGGGGAGGAACTTGCAACCTGATGTAGAGCAGGGAACAGTGGCTCAGGGGAAAACACGGGTCTCAGGGACAGATGTCAAGGAGGCTGTGACATTCATGCCGAGTCCTTGGAGCTGGGAAGAAAACTGACGGTGGGGGGAGCGATGGTAGAAGACTATTCCACAACCAACCTATAAAAAGAGTGCAGCAGCTTATAAATTATATATGAAATGCTGAACAGTAAATGGCAGTGACTTTCAATCTCAGCACTGGGAACATCTGGGGTGGATAATGCTCTGTCATGCAAAACCGTCCTGTTCATTCTAAGTCACTTAGCAGCATCCCTGACCTCTACCAACTAGCAGCCAGGAGCACCCTGTCCCCACTGTGACAGCCAAAAACGTCCCCAGATACTGCCGAGGGGACAGGGAAGAGGCAAAGCTACCCTCACCAGAGACTGCTGGTTTAAGAGCTTAGTGTAAGCAAATGCTGGACTGCAAAGCCAGATTCCTGCTAGATAAGCCCTCTCTCCTAGCTCTGGAGTACCCAAGCCAAACCTAAATAAAACAGACTCCAGGACCCAAACGTGAAGGGTATGAATGGCACAGCAAGAATGTCCATCAAGGAAAGACTGTCCCTTATAGGAGACTGGACTGTAAGGGATAACCAAGATTTACCTACTGGCCGGATGTGGTGGCACACGCCTGTAATCCCAGCACTCGGGAGGCTGAGGCAGGAGGATCACTGTGAGTTCGAGACCAGCCTGGGCTACATAGTGAGTTCCAGGTCAGTCTCAACTACATAGTGAGACCCTGTCTCAAAAAACCAAAACAAAAAAAAAATTTACCTACTGGACTGTTCTTTAAAGATCCTATGGGCTGGGAGATCCTAGTTCAACAGTACAGCACTTGTATGAGACCCTGAGTTTGATCTCCAGCACAGCAAATACATAAATATTCTAACTATTCCAATTTAAACCAGGCTCTGTGCCTCCCCAGGCAGGCCACGATGGTTAGGGGTTCAGAACCTCCAACACAGCAGCTCAACCTAAACTGCCCAGCATCTAACAGTCCAGGTGAGTAAATGGAAGACAGGTGGCAGCCACATGTAGGGGTGGGAGGCAAGGGGTGGGTGGGGGTTCAGGGATTTCACCCAGGTTACACCAGTTCACTTCATCCTGGCTTTGCATCAAATGCTATTTAGCAAATATTTCTGAGCAATCAGGATTAGTCTCAGGGGTCCATGACTGTACCACTGGGATACTCACCTAGCCTGCTCACATCGCAACTCTGCTCAGGACCCCAGGGCTTCCAAGAAGGTCTTTTAGATCCCTTCTCTGTGAGGCCCTTACTCACTACAGCAAAAGAATTTCCCACCTGTCTTGCCCCTCCTCTCTACCAGTCACCAAGCAGCAGAATCATAATTACTTGCAGTTTTATTTCAGGACAGCCGTCAGTCTCAATCATCTCAATACCAAACATCAAAGCACGATGCCTGGCCCCAGAAATCCCTTTGTGAATTCCCAGGAGCAAATCATCAGTAACGAGGGATCACCATGTACTTCACTGTTCACCTTCATGAGCATGATTCTGATTTCATAAGCATCTGTCCTGCCCTCAGCCTCATCTGGTGTGATGTGGAGCAAAAGCGTACTCTGGCACACTGGGACACTGGTGACAATGTCTTAAATGATGTCATTCTGAAACGTATCTGCTGGAAAATCCCCATGGGCTATTCAGAAGGTCAGAGTAAGGGCCAAAGGAAGCAAAGAGATGCAGGCTGAAACCACAGGTGAGGGGCAGTCACTTCATCTGTATATCCTCAAAGCAAAATGAAAAAGAAAGTATATTGGACTTTCATTCTACAAAGAGAAATAAGAACAAAGATAACTTCTAGGCCTCTACTAAGCTCTCTATAAGGTTGAACCACCTCAGTTTTCATATCAGGGCATCCTGATTTACCAAGGTGGAGGGCTCCTGCCACGTACTGCAGACCAACACACCAGGAAGGACATAAGAGAGGCTGGCGGGGCCTCCACTCCCACTGGAGAAGGCCATGCCCTTCCTAGAGTGACAGCCTGCATCTGCCCAGCAAGTGACCCAGCCTCCAGCCTTCAGTATCAACTCAGAACCAAGACATTGGTTCTGCAAATCCCAAGGTACATACTTGTAATGCACCATAATGGGCTGGAATGGGCATGGCTTTGGGCCAGGAAGACCCAACTTTGAGTTCCACATCCTCCGCTCACAAGTCCCGTGATATTGAAACTATTAGCATGTCAAGTTCCTAAATCCTTGGCTTTAGAATGAGAAAAAAGCACCACCCATCAGAAGAGCAGTACCTCAAGTTCCCAGCACAGAACAAGACACTTCCAAGGCTCCACCTCGACCACCTAACCTAATGACTCCCCCGCCTTCCCAGGAATCACACCTGGAGCCTGTGAAGTTTCTGTAGTTCAGGACTCTACAGGTTCCTTCCAATCGCCTCAGAGGACAGTGTTATGCTGTGTCTCGGCCCCCTTTCTGGACCAGCATGCACAGAGGTTCTGAGAGCCTCAGTTAGGAAGCATGTCCAACTCCAGCCAGTTAGGCTTGGCATCCAGGCACATCCTGCAGGAAACAGTTGTCAAAGCTGGTCTGATGGGATGTGCACGAGACTCGTGCCCGAAGACCTGGGTTGAGTTTAGCATGACCAACTATCTGCTAACCGCCCAGGCCTCATTTTCTCTCCTGCAAGACGTCCTACCTATAGGCAGCAGCTGCAATGGGGCTCAAACAATACACTCGAGTATGGGGTCCCAAGACTGTGAACACAGGGTGGGGGCGATGACACAGTTCTCTAAGGGAAGGCCAGCAAAGTGGCCACTCTGCCCTCAGGGCCAATCCTCCAGCTAACTACACCCAGGCTGTGCATAGGTGGAAGGCTCCTCCAGAGGGTCTAGAAGGTAGAAGCTGCTGAGGAATGGGAAGACTGCGGACAGCCCCTTCCCTCCCCTCCTCAGGAATGTTGTTTGCTTACAGAAGAAGCCAGGACTTGTTTCCATTAGCAGTCTTCCAACCCAAGCCCCAGCTGATGCTGAGCAGATAAGGAAACCAGACCAGAGAAACGCTGGAGAGGAATTTAGCACCAGAGGCCCAAGTCCTTCCCTGATGCCCTTCTCTCCTCAAAGGCTGCAGAGGCCCTCAGTGGGCCCAGGGAGTACTGGGACATGCTGGCATTGGCCTGCCTGAGCGAGGCTGGACCTGTAGTTGTTTTCACTTTGCCTTGCATCTAGCAAAGCCCAGGCCACCACAAAGGACAACAGCACACATCTCAAAACATCATGTTGTACATGAAAAGCATATACAATTTTTATCTATGAATTTAAAAATACTAACTCTTTTTTTTTAAGGACACCAGAATTTCATGCTTAGATTCCCAGTTCCTATGTTAAAGGGATGCAGGGGCAGTTCACCCCGGATCTTATCAGCCATCTACCAATGTTGACTTTAGGGACAATGGAGAAGAAGGGGAGGGCGACATGTCAGATCTGTATTTTAAAGAGTTTACCCTCCCTGACCTCCACTGCAGTGGCGGTGAGAGGCCAGTAGCTGGAAAGTCCCAGGGACCAGGGAAGAGGATACTTCCAACCTAAGGTGGGAAGGTAGTTCCCTGCCTCCACCAGGGAGCCAATGTACAAGAGAAGAAACAAAGGCAACCAGTTTACCCTCTGACTCCAAAAGAGCCTGGCTCAGGGAAGACCAGCAGAGCCCAAGTCCTTTCCTCCCAAGTGAGAGGTAGCTGCACCCCAGAAAGCCTCAGGCCAGTGTTTCCAGAGCTTCTTGGGCACCGACCTCACATATCATGTGTCTCACACTATGGGTCCCCTCCACTAAAACACCAATCTAAGGACTCCAACACAGTGGCTTTGGGACTTCAGCAGAGAAACTAAATGAATGAATCTGTCAGTCAATGGGAGCCTGAAGAGAGCCCTGCAGCCCATCCGGCCTGCAGAAGCTGCCCTGTGGGGCCATGCAGCATGTCAAGCCCCTTGCCTGATGCTTCTCCTGTCTTCCTGGCTCCCACTCCCACCCTGTCTCAAGCAGATGCCCCTATCCTATCCACCAGAGCCGACTCTGCAGAGTGTGGGCTTTGTCCATGTAGTCCCCTGAAGCGGAGCTGGACGGCTCTTCTCCTATATCCTCCACTTAGACCCTCTAAAGCCAGACGTGTCTGTCACCTCTCCACACAGCCTTTCCTAACACCCTCCACTCCCCAGAACCTCTGCCTCTTTGCCCTGTCCCCCAAAACTCCTTGAAGTCTAGGACACTGCACTCCAACCAGTGCTGTGGAAAGGGCCTGAACTGTTCAAAATGCAGAGAATGACCATTCCCAGGGCAGCCTCTCCTAAACTCTTGAGTCCAATGTCTCTGGGAAGTAAGGGGGGTGGCGGGCACCAACAGCAGGTCGGGCAGCTTTTGGGCAAAGTGAAGAGGCCAGGCAGGCAGGCCTGGGGCTGGATCTACAGATAAGGCATCTACACCGGACCCTGGCTTTGCTTTTAATTGGTTCAATGTTTGTGCAGTGAGATCACACATGCACCTCACCTGTGGGGTAATGAGCTTGCACTAAGCCACCAAGGAGAACTGCAAAAAGAAGCAAGTTGTTTCAGGTAGGGGTGGCACCCCTCCCGAGCAGTGAGGGGCATACATTCCTCCCCTCGCCCCCAGGTTTGAAAAGGTTGACAAGAGCTATGGCTGGTTTCATGTGCGGAATTGTTCCCTGTGCACGCCAACCATGCCCTCCTGCAGACAGCCTCCCCTGAGCCTGCTCGAAGCTGCCCACACATGCACGGGGGCAACTTGAGCCCTTCAGATTCCTGTAGCGGAGTTGTTCCTTCCCTTTGGTTCTGCTGATAGAATGGTTTTTCTTTCCTCAAACATGTGAGCAAAACTGAAACCCAACGCAGAAAAATAACCATACTCAAAAGATTTAATTACACGGCCGCCGTCTCAATCGGAAAGTGCAGTATGCTGGTTTTCAGAGTCCACATCATGACTGCTGAGAAGTGCAACCCAAGATCAGAACTAGACAACTTGTGAAGATCACTCGAGACCAGAACCCCCACACCTTCAGAGGCTTGTTACCCTCTTAATGGTATTTAAATAATAACTTGGCAGGGAAGGCAGTGCTGGGCCTGCACCCAGCACCTTGTGCATGCTAGGCAAGCATTCTACTTCCAAGCTACATCCCCAGCCCCTAAATAATAATTTTCTTAAAAATTTTGAAGCCAGGGGTGGTAGTGCACGCCTGTAATCCCAATACTCAAGAGGCTGAGGCAGGAGGATCGCTGCGTGTTCAAGACCAGCCTGGGCTACATAGTGAGTTCCAGGACAGTTTGAACTACACAGTGAGACCCTGTCTCAAAAGAAAAAAAATAATTATGGAACTACTTCTAAGGCTCTTATTTTCCCAAAGGTCCAAACTCCAGGGATGGAGTCAACAAAATCTCCACCATCCAAATAATGCCACATCTTACTGCCCAAACATTAGAGTGACAACTGTGTGACCTGTTTCTCCCTTGGCAGCATACACAGCAAAGGCCAGAGCAGACCAAGGCTCTGCAGCTGTCCAGAATCACAATCATCATCACCCCACATCTGCGGTATTGCTGGTTATAGCTGATGTACACTCATCTATTTTCTTTCTGAGAGGCACAGGACTGGCCAGGGATCGAAAACAATCTTCCTGATTGATCAAACAGTCATTTAAGTGGATTCTGATAATGAGCTTCATCCTCCAAATATATGGGTATTTACCCATGAGCTTCACGGAAGGTACTGCATCTTAGAGAGAAATGGACAAGGTGGCCGACAGACTAGACATGGAAGCCCAGGCCCTCCGCTTAATAGGACACACACTGCCAGGCTGACCCGGTCCTCGGTTTCTCTCCTTGTGAAATGGAAACAAAGCAGCTACCCCCAGAAAGGCTGTGAGTGTGCAGGTAAGGAGTAGCTCGCACCCCCAGGGTCTCCCTGTCCCCCATGCCTGCCCCCTCCTCTATAAATCCTGCGAGCTCACAGAAGCATTGTGAGGACTCAGTGCACCCCTGGAGCAGTAGCAGGCCCTCCCCCAACCTTGGCCCCTTCTCTCAAGATGCCTGTGTCACGGCTGAGCTCACAATGAGTCAGTCATAGATGCTGCCCTCACAGCCCACTTCAGGGGCTTGAAGTCACATCCTGCCTAACCCAACTCAACATGATTTATTCCACCCCAGGAATGCAGCTCGTTTCCCAGAATTTGGTTGAGAACTTTAGTCAAAGGGCTTGATCTTGCAAGGGGCTCCATTTACAGGCTCTGCTGCACTGGCAGCCAGGGGAGCCCCAGCTCAGCTCAGACCTGCAGGAGGGAATCCCACAAAGTCAGGGCTGCGACAAGCACCCACACACAGCATCTCAGCCTGGTAGCTCCAATTTTCTTTAATCTCACCCAGGAAAAAAACTGTGTAGTTATATACATGTATCTAATTTTTGTTGTTAATTGTTCTAGGGATCAAGCTCAGGACCCCAAGCTTGGCTTGTAAGGCAGGCAGCAGCACCACTGAGCTAAATCCCCAGGTACATATACTTAATTTTAAAACTTTTTAATCACAAATACAGGCAAACGTGTTGAACAAAAGCTTCACAAAATGATGTGTACATGGTATAAGCTTATTTGAGTCTATTTTATTTCATTTCTAAAAATACTGGTTGCCACCCACTAATGTAATTTCAGGACCCACCATGAGTCTCAGCTGACTATGGAAAACACCCACTTAACTCAAACTTCACTGGGCAGAAGAGACTTAACCAGACCACCTACTGGCCGACAGTCACTTCAGAAGTTAGGCCAAGCAGAACTCAGGTACAAAGCCAAAGAGGAATGGGGGTAGGGATCCAGCCTCAAGTAAGGCAGCAGTTGCAGCAACCCCAGAACCTGACATTGTCAGACGTAGTCTGGGCTGATGAGGAGCCCCTCAACACCCTGGATGCCTGGAAGAAGAAACCAAAGCAGCAGGGTTCATTTCCTCTCCCTGCCTTTCCATCCCCTGGTTCTGTTCTCTACTGAGCCAGCGCAGTGCCAGCCTTGGGCACAGGAAGGCATAAAGAACAGGGCCATGCTTTCCAGAACTGAGGGGGCAAGCTGCAGCACAGAGCCTCCTGCCACCCTGGGGAAGATGAACCATGTAGTGAAGACAGTCATTTCACTCTTTCAAGAAAAAGTAACTTAAGAGTTCCTAGAGTGAGTTGTACAGCACCCTTGTCTGAAACCTGGCCAATCCCGGCTGTCCTTGAGCAGGGAGCTTGGCCGGTGGGGATGACCTCACGATGTCCTTCACCAGAAACCTGGCTGCTGTTTATTTTACCACCCACCAAGAACTGCTCCTCGGTCCAAGCCATAGTCTGGTTCCAATGTGACAAGAGCTATGTAAGACAGAAGGAAAAAGCAGTAACCCTGCCCTAGTAAGACCCAAATTCAGCCACATCATCCTGGCCTGGCCCAATTCCTATACCCACTCACCCCCCAGTATATACAAAACTGTGCACACAGAGCTATATACATATAGATCGCAGAGACTGTGCACAGCAGACCTGTGAGACATACGTGTACACACATAGATGCCTGTAGGCACATACCCTGAGGATGCAGGGATCAGAGCAGAACTGTGAGCTACTCCTGGGCCAAGTAATCTGGATAGAAGTGCCGCACTCTCTATTTAGCAAGACTCTGGGTGAGTTATTTAATCATTTCCTCCTTACTAATATAGGGTTTAGAAAAGCCTCCTCGAAGCACCACAGGACCGGCTGTGCAATTCAATAAGAGCCACGGCACTTCGTTCTGAGTGCCTTTGGAGTAATCACACATAGTAGCCTAACAAGGTCAATTTTTTTCAGTTTTCTGCTTTGCAGATGGGGAACCTGAAGGCCAGACTGTGCACACAACTGCTGTAGGTGTCTACACCACTTGACACTCCAGGGTCTCTGCCTAACCACGTGGCTCCTTGCTTCAGAGGGTGCAATGAGGCAGCAATACGTAGGAAGCATCCAGCAAGCCTCCTAGTAGGTCCTGGTAACCGGCAGTTGCAATATGTTAAGGGGAAAGCACAGAGAAGATCTCCAAGCTTCCCAGTCCCACAGCCAAAGCAGAAGAGTTGGTCCTCCTGGCTGACATCAACCCCGTGCTCCAGCGTAGACTGCCCTTTCCAACCCCTCCGAACCTGATTTCTCTAAAAGGGGGTGGGAGTAATCTCCCACTGCCCCTCCCAGCTGTCTCGGAGAGATCACACACCACAGCCAGGAATTTAATGAGCCTAGAGTTAGTTGTCCGTGACTCCCAACCAACCACAACCAATCCGGAATGTCCCAGGTCCCCATCACAACAAAGCTGCCTAGTAAAGCCCGGAAGGGCCTTTGAGTTCATCCCAGCCCCAGATCTCAGCTCAGGTCCGCAATAGAGGATCACATTCTTCACATTCTTGTCTGAAAGCCAGAAGTAAGAAAAGGGGTGGGAGGTGCTGGAGGTGCGGGGGAGGATCCACTATTTCAATCTAAAGATAAGTAAAGCCTGGGACTTGTTTCAAAGGGTTAGAGACCACCCCCTGCAGCCTCTCCTCCAAGGTGTGTCAACACTGTGGCGGCTACAGGAATGGGGCCTTGCCACCTGGAAGCACCCTCAGCCTGAGGTCCCCAGTGTCCTCCATCTGGGGATACCAAGGCTACTGAATGGCAGGAAGGACTTGGTCAGATAATCAGTCTTGGCATCATATGGAGGCCGCTCTCTTTTCCTCCCTGACAAGGAGGTTTGAGGTTCTAGCCCAGAAGCCAGAGAAGCCCAGCGAACTGGCTGCAGACAGAGCAGGAGGAGTGGAGACAGTTTTGGGGAGCAGTGAGCACTGTGCGAATTCTGCAGGCCTCAGCAGCAAGTGATTAATTGTATAATGAGGCATTTTTTCCTGAACACTTGGCGCTATACATCCACCTCCTCCTCCTCACCCTGGCAGAGACAGGAAACAGTCGAGGGCGGCAAGCCGGCTGTGGGCAGAAGGCAGGCTCAGAACAGCACACTGGTGGGGGGTAGGAGGAGGCAGCAAAGTAGGCTAAGTGGGGGAAGCAAAAGCCAGATTCCCCAGCAGGAACTAGGCAGAGCACACACACCCCCGCCTGCCCATCCTCACACACCAGCTACCTGTTGGACACAGATCAACTGAGAGGACTGAATTTTACATCCAGTGTCATAAAGGCCAGCAAGGAACTGCCCACTGCTGCAGTTAGGAGTAAAACTGTCAAAGTCCTCAAAAGCCCAGTTTCACAAATATGCCCCGTACATCTAAGTCATACGAGAAGGAAGGAAAGGCAAGGGAAACAGATAATGACTGGCCTGAAAGTAGGAACTGGGAGAGGAGAGGATCTTAGAGCTGGCACTTGTGACCTGGGTCTAGTCACAGAAGTTCCTGTGAGTCTTTAGTCTTAACATTCTCTGCTATTGCAGATAGGTAAGTTAATTAGATAGATATCTTGTAGGCAGTTAAGACAGGGCTACCCTCAAGGAGCCAAAATGGAGGACAATCAAGACACATTCACTGAAGGCCAGAATTGTAAAAGGAGAGAAACTACTACACCCTAGTCCTTCCCCTGGGGATAAAGAGCAGTGATTCATATTCTAAATAGGACACACTTGAGGAAATACCCAATAGTTTCTCTGGTGTGAAAAGCTAAAAGTGAAAATAAGGTTCAAATGATATAATTGATAGTGTGAAATAGAAAGAAAATGGCTAAAGGGGAAGTGGGAAGGGAAGGGGAAAGGAAATAAGGGAAAAGAAAAAATGTGAAAAAAAACAAAAACAAAGTCTTTGTAAATGGGAAAGGGTGAAGGGGTGAAGGGAGGACAGGACTATGGGGTAAAATAAGAACTAAGACATATCATGTAAAGGTACAAGATCCCAATGATAAATGTAACTGTATTGTTTGCTTTAAATGTACCCATAAACTTAATGGGGGAAAAAAAAAGAAAAGTATTTCAAGAAAATAAGGGCGAGGGGAAGGAGAGAGAAAAGGAAATAAGTAGAACCAAGATACGCTGTGTACAGGAACCTAATGATCTTAAATGATGTAAACATTATGTGCCATAACATGAGCGGAGATTCATGAAATGAAGAATGAAACTAAGAATGGAGGCAGAGGACTTGAGGGGAGGGGGAAGGAAGGGGACTGTACGAAGAGACAAGCTGTGTCATGAACAGATAGGCCTTCTCAGGACCCCTGCAAAATGAACATGCTGCTAAACTGCACTAATGAAGCTTTTCAAAGGGTTTAAAAGAAAATAAATAAGTTTCAATCACCTGGGTGGGGGGCCAAGGTCTTAACCCAGCCTTTCCAGGAAATATGCCAGACCCACCCTTACTAAAAATCCTTGTATGCTTGCTATGTGACTTGCTCCCCTCCACTTGACCCCCATGTAATCACCCGGGTGGCTGTACTTATAATCTTAATGGTTGGTCATGGCTTTGCCCCACCTCATGCCCACCTTGTAATTTTCTATTGGGTCTTACAGTTTTGTGCCACTTTATACCCACCTCACCTCATGGCTTTGCTGTAAAAACATCTTTGAGAAGTGGAGTATGAGGGCTACACACTCTGGTCCCCCTTCTGCCTCTCTTAGAAGAAGCTTTCTTTCCCTCAATAAATTTTTCCTACTCTTAACCTCCATTGTTCCTAGAAATCATTCTTCGATTTTAGAGACACGAACTCGCTTCTCAGATATGTAGCAGGTTTGGAAGTTACATCTCTTCTCCCTGTGTCACTATAAAATGGGAACATCAGCTAAGACTGTAATTGCAATAACCTGGGTGTGACCTCAAGCTTTAGATAGAAAAAAATTGATTGATTTTTAATAGATAAAAACATACCCTGTCACTAATGCTGGGCAAACTATACAAGTAAAATGTACAATAAACAATAAA